AAATGGAGAACAACCTTAACATACACATAGGAAACAACCTTACCATACACATAGGAAACAACCTCAACATACACAGGGGGAACAACCTTAACATGTACATTTGTAACAATCTGAAAATACACATAGAGCACAACCTTAACATACATATGGGGAACAACCTGGACATGTACATGGGGAACGTCCTGAACATGTACATGGAGAGAAACCTGAGCATGTACATGGAGAACAACCTTAACATACACATAGGGAACAACCTTAACATACACATAGGTAACAACCTTAACCTACACATAGGAAACAACCTTAACATGTACATGGAGAACAACTTCAACGTACACAAGGGGAACAACTTGAACATAAACATGGAGAACAACCTGAACATGCACATGGGGAACATCTTGAACATACACATAGGGAACAACCTGAACATACACATAGGTAACAACCTTAACATACACATAGGGAACAACCGTAACCATCACATGGGGAACGACCGTAACATACACATAGGGAACAACCTTAACTTACACATGAGGAACAACCTGAACATGTACTAGGGGAACAACCTTAACCTGTACATGGGGAACAACCTTAACATGTACATGGGGAACAACCTTAACATACACAAAGGGAACAACCTTAACATACACATAGCGAACAACCTTAACCTACACATAGGGAACAACCTTAACATACACATAGGGAACAACCTTAACCTACACCTGGGGAACAACCTGAACATGTATATGGGGCACAACCTGAACATGTACATGGTAAACAACCTTAACATACACAAATGGAACAACCTTAACATGCACAGGGAACAACCTTAACATACACATAGGGAACAACCTTAACATACACATAGGAAACAACCTTAACCTACACATGGGGCACAACCTGGAAATGTACTTGGTAAACAACATAAATATGTACATGGAGAACAACTTTAACATGGACATGAGGAACAACCTGAACAAACACATTGGGAATAACCTGAACATGTACAAACTGAACAACCCTAACATACACAAAGGGAACAACCTTAACCTACACCTGGGGAACAACCTGAACATGTACATGGGGAACAACCTGAACATACACATGGGGAACAACCTGAACATACACCTGGGGAACAACCTGAACATGTACATGG